TAGAGTGATTAGGTTTGTTTTTGTGGGATGCTCGTCTACTCAAAAAAGATGTAAATATTATAATCCCACTACCAAAAAAATCCTTTTGATATGTTGATGTCACATTTGTTAAGACATAATCTTTTTTTGATAACTTTATCTTCAGGAAGAGACTAATACACTAGAAAATAAGGAGGTTCAATCATTTTTTGATATTCCCTTACCATTGAAAACTATATCGTCTACAACAGCTACCACTACAAATCCAATGTCCATAAAGTGAACTTGACCCCATATCTTTGAAAAGTTTAACCTGAACCTTAACCAATATGAGACTCGCAATTCTCCCAATTGTATTCAAGATGGAAGAACCTAGAATCCAATCCAAGGCAAGTTCAAGAATCTAAGTTGAGTACTATTAGTATTTCTTCTGATATTGACATACATATTGCACTTAAAAAGAGGGCAGGAAATGCACAAGCATCGCCTCTATCCAATCTCAAAATTTGTATTCTCTAAAAAGTACTCATCTCACAATAAGTTTCTTGTGAACCTGAATACAGTATTTATTTCCAACACATTATCTGAGGGTTTAAACACCGAAGAATAGAAAAATATTATGAATGTTAAAATGCGTACACTTAAAAAGCATTAGATATGAGAAGTAGTAGACTTGCTTAAAAGGAAAAGACTGGTGGGTCACAAATGGGTAGTCACCATCAAATACAAGTTAATAGAACTATTTAAAGATATAAGGCGAGATTGATGGCTAAAGGATATGTTCTGACCTACAAGATTGACTATGAAAAAACATTTGCATCTGTTGCAAAAATGAATACAATATATATCTACTATCTTTTGCTCCTAATTTCAATTGACAATTACAATAGTTTGATACAAAAAATATCTTTTTATATAGGGAATTACAAGAAGAAATTTAAATTAATATTCTTTGCAAATTTGTCAATGAAATAGGAACGAAAAAGGTGTGCAAATTAAAAAATGTGCTCTACGGACTAAAGCAATTCCTCTGGCCATGGTTTGAGAGATTTATAAGAGTGATGCTAGCCATTGGGTACAGACAGAGTAAAAAAGGTCATACCCTGTTCATTAAGCACTCTAAGTCAAGGAGAATCATAACCCTCCTGATATATGTAGATGATATAATTGATACAACGAATGATGAAGGAGAAAATGAGGTTTTTAGGCAACATTTGGTTAGAGAATTTAAGATTAGAAAATTGGAAAAATTAAATATATCTTTGGATAGAATTGACCTATTTAAGATGTAAAATATTCATTTCACAATAAAAGTATATGACAAACTTTTTGAAAGAAACTGGTAAGCTAGCATGCGAGTTTGTTAGTACATCAATTGATCCCAATCATAAACTAAGATTAGTAGAAGAAGACCTAGATGTGGAGAAGGAAATGTTCCAAAGAATAATGAGAAAATTGATAAACTTGTCACCTACTAGTCTAGATACTGCATATGGTTATTGTATTGAGTTAGTTCATGCACAAGTCGAAAGAAGTGCACCTGCGAGCTGCCTATAGGATACTCGACAATTTGAAGGTTAATATGGGGAAGGGAATTACATTTGAAAGAACAACGAGCTACTTCTTAAAGCATACACTAATGCAGGATCACTAGTTAACAGAAGATTCACTCTTGGATATTGTACCTTCATTGGATGTAATTTAGTGATCTAGAGAAGTAAGAAACAGAATGTAATAGTCCGATCTAGTACTAAGTTAGAGTTTAAGGTTATGGCTCAAGGGATATCTGAGCTTATATGATTGAAGATGGTTCTAGAAGGCTTGGAGATTCAGTGGAATGAACCCATGAGACTCGACTGCCACAATAAAGCATCAGTTAGTATCATTCACAATTTGGTATAGTATGACAAGACTAAATATATTGCAGTAGGCAGATATTTCATCAAGGAAAAATTGGATAGTGGATTGATATGCACTCCTTATGTGTCATGGAGGAGATTTAGTGGGATGAACCTATGAGATTCTGCTGCGACAATAAATCAGCAATTAGTATTGCTCGCAATCTTGTACAGCCCAACAAGACTAAGTACATTGCAGTAGGCAGATATTTCATCAAGGAAAAATTCGATAATGGATTGATATGCACTCCATATATGCTTATTGCTTCGCAACTTGCTGATATATTGAACAAATGATTAAGTAATCCTAGATTTTGGACAATTATCGGCAAATTGGGAACGGATAATATTTATTCACTAGCTTGAGGAAAAGTCTTGAGAAGTGTTGTATATTCTGTTACAGAATTGGTTAAGTAGGCTATAGGGTATGTTAGTAATATACTCCTTTGTAATTAATTGTGTTCTTTATCCATTAAGTACTTAAACGACTTTTTCCTTTTAAATGTTGTTCTTTATGGCACGAAGTGATCAAGAGTAAGTACGACTTGTAAATGAATGGTTAGGATTCAAACGTTAGGAATATCGCGACTTCACAGAATGCCCCAAAAGCCATCCCCTAGTTTATGACCTATTATCTGCTCTTGTTCCTTCATATTAAAAAAAAGTTTCTCTTGATCGTTTGAGAGTGGGTAATGATTCGTACATTTTTTCTGGAAAGATATCTAGCAATTTTGCTAGCCTTTCCCCACACCTCTATAACCTACCACTATGCCCCAAGAAAAAGGAGTGATAATTAGCTCCATTTGCTTAATGTCTTTGAGTCTTATGGTGTCTCTCCATAACCGGAATAGTAGTATATGGACCTTGGAGTTTTCAAGTGTATACACTTGCACGTTTCTTTAACCATCTTAATTCATTGTTCTAGTTGCCATGAGACATTTACTGATGCATTTTTGAAAGGCTAAGTCTCCCTCTTAAGTTTAGTCTGGACTGCTATCTTAAACCAAACTCAAGCAAACTCTCGTTTGGAGGTTCATTGTTCAAGTGCATACACTAGCAAGTTTCTTTAACCATCTTATTCATTATTCTAGTTGCCATGAGGCATTAACTAGTGCATTTTTGAAAGGCAAGTCTCCCTCTAACTTCACGTTTATATCTGGACTGCAATCTTAAAACAAACTCAAGCAAATTCTCATTTGCAGGTTAACATATTCAATTGCACTCTTTCTATGGGTGTGGATATCATGTGCTTCAGGGGGTTCCACTTCCATTGCCACCTCTTTTTGCATTGTTAGATGGTCAAGAGACTTATGTCCAACCTTTTTGATATTTTTGGCCCTTTATTATTGTCTCTCTACTCTTGCATGGGGTTTGCGGCAAAGAAGGAAGTTAAAGTATTCTGGAGAGGAGCTCCTTTGCTAGTTTATGGGTGCTTTGGTTGGAACATACTGCTAGATTTTTTATGTTTTCTTACTTTCTCCATGTTTTCAATGCAATAGATTGGTTTTCTTTGCCTTTTTGTGAGCCAAGGCTCATGGGTTCTTTAAGAATGTCTTTTTGGCTATATTTTGTAGAGGGATTGAGACGGAATGTTGTCATGATTTTTTTGGTGTTCTTCTTTTTCCTCTTTTCTTGTCAACTTAGAAGGCTTTCTTCTCCAATTTCTCCTGTCTAATTGTATTTCTTTTTTTTTTCTGTCATTAAAAACAATTTCCAATTTCATCCCAAGGATGATAAAATATCTTCTATCCTCTCTATCTCTCTCTTCCCATCACTGGCCTCATTTTTGCTTTATAATTCACACAGTGCTCATACATGCATGATACAATTTTAAACTGTATTGAGCCATATGTTTCCTTTTTCATTTGGTTCATTGAAGAGTTGGGGTATGTAGGGGCTGCTGCAAAGGAAATTTGGGTTTAGTTTGTCAGCAGGTAGTGTAGATATAGCTGCACATTCACGATGATCATAACTCTCTTATATATTCTGTATACCAAGAAAAGACACTCCCTAGATTGTGATGTAATGTAGAATCTGATTCATGGAAACAAACTATGCCTATGGAAATAGCTTAGGTTATGTCGGAGTTTTATCAAGTCATAGTGGTTACTTTTTCTAATTTAGTTTGGTTTAATTTGACAGAAGATGAATCAGCAGTTGTGAATCAACCTGTTCAAGGGAGCTTCTTAAACCTCTTGCCTCCCCAAATTGAAGTACCTGAGAAAGAGAGCAATTCTCAATGAGCTACAGCATTCTTCTCATAACGTTAACATTATCAACCAAAGGGAAGCTGTGTTGTCTCGCAGTTGGTGAGTAGAATTCGTTCCTGAATATCTGACTCTTTCATTTCATGCCTCTGGGAGTAAAAATTTTAGGGGCGAATGCCTTGAAGAGAGTGGATTTGACGTATTTAATTGGCTGTCGGGTCAGCTAGGATCTGATCGCTGTAAAATA